CTAATATTTATGAACTGATGTTATTAATCTTGCTAAATATTTACTCATGGAACTGTATCTGTGGGGCAGTATTCAGGTAATAGTAGAAGAGGTGGGACATGGCTTGTGCCAAAGTCGAAATAGGCACTGCAGGGTCTGCTGCAAGGACTTGGGTTCACCAAAGGTGCTGCATTGGAGGGGCCAGTTAACTTGACTGTTGTCAGTGCTACGTGCTGAGCTTGGTTGGGGTTTTGAGTGTTTGAACACTTAATGATGTCTGATGCAATGGTTGCTTGTTCTGGAGTCAAAGGGCATCGTAGTTGACCTTTATTTATCTATAGATAAATCACAGAATCCCAGACTAGTTTGGGCTGGAAGGGACCTGAAAGCTCCTCCAGTTCCAATCCCTGCCACGGGCAGGGACACCTTCCACTAGAGTAGCTTGCTCCAAGCCCCTGTGTCCAGCCTGGCCTTGGACACCACCCGGGATGAGACAGCCACAACTTCATAAGGGAGCATATGAACCTAAGCGTTAAAGTATCCTTTAAAATCCTTTAATAGCAGCTAATAATTGCATTTTATACCGTAGAATACCGGGTACTCTATGGTAGAAGTAGAAGGAAAGCATTACTTGGTCTGCCTCCTAACAAGAGCAAACTGTAATTAAACAGTTAAGAGACTAGACAAGTATTTATCTCTTTCATGTACCACTTGGTAGCTCAGTCTAGGGGAGGGTAGCAGTGATTGTTACTATTCAGATTGTTGGTCTAGTGGAAAGTGTTCCTGTCCATGGCAGGAGGGCTGGAACTGGATGATCTTAAGGTTAAGGTGCTTTCCAACCCAAACCACTCTACTATTCTACGGTTGCTGTTTAGGTGATGTGCTTAATAGGCCTTTAATGGCCCACTCAATAGTGAAGGAGGTTCAAAAGTGGTGAAAATGTGCCCCCTTGCCTGTGTTAACTGTTTACACAGTTGATGTCAGTAAAAGTTCTTTGGATTGGATATGAATCTCTTCTTTCAAGAGCCAAATTAAGTTTTCAGGATTAGGTGGGAGCTCATGCTGCTGTGAGAACTGCGGTTCTGTACGCAAGCTGGGGTAGTTTTGAAGTGTTATGCTTGAGTATTTGTCTTTCCCAGTAGTGATAACAGTGAAAATAGGTAAGTGTAAAAGCAAAGTTGTCTATGTGGTACCCGGACAGGCTGCGAAAAAGCTGTGAAGGGATGAGTTTATAACTTACTGTTTTATATATATATATATATATATATATAAAAACCTGTTTCTTTGCATTTGCAAAAGCCTTGGGGAAAACTAAAAACTAACAAACAAATAAAAACACCAACCAGAAAAGCCCACAGGAAAGCTGACGTTCCCAGCAATCAGTGAGGGTTTGGTGGGAATGTTAGTTCCCCTTGAGGAGAAGGGAAAACATGGTCTGGCTTTAATCCCCCTTAACCAAAGAGATTAAACTATGTCAGATCATACTGTATATCCTTGGAACCTCTCTTGGCCCAAGAACTAGGGAAGGAGATACAGAGGGGACAGGAAGGGACTGATGCTGATGGCTCTGCTCTTCCTCCCACCCATCCTGTTCTGCTGCAGGCTGAGACCCTCAGTAACACAATAAATGGCCTGGCAGCACATTATTAGATAGCAGCATACAACTTCACTTGGTACTAATTGCCACCTTCAATTACACTGTTAAAAGTTATGATATGGCTGGTATTAAAGTAAAGAAAGACAAAGAGTCAATTTTCACTCTTTTTATCCCCACGGATGTAACATTCATATGGAGAATTAAAGTCCGGCTGGCTGTTGAGAGTGGCCTCTGAGGTGGTTAGGCATTAACAGGAGCTTCAAGGTACATCCCTCTTTTTAGGGGCTTATAATTTATCTATAAATATTAATTTCAGATAGTTCTGGCATCCAGTCTCGGTATTGCTTTCCAATGTGCCAAACAGTTGGCAGGGCTGATAGAACCACACAATTACGAGGGGTTTGCACCACTGAGGAATGCAATGGTGATGTCCACAAGAGGAAGACATCCAAGAAGTCATTCACCCATCTCCTGTTCTTAAACAGGGGTTGTTCAACCTGGGAAGGCTCTGGGGAGACCTGAGAGCATCTCCAGTGCCTAAAGGGGCTCCAGGAAACCTGGAGAGGGGCTTTGGGCAAGGGCCTGTAGGGACAGGCCAAGGGGAATGGCTTTAACCTGCCCGAGGGGAGACTGAGATGAGCTCTTAGGCAGAAGCTCTTCCCTGTGAGGGTGCTGAGGCGCTGGCACAGGGTTCCCAGAGAAGCTGTGGCTGCCCCATCCCTGGCAGTGTTCAAGGCCAGGTTGGACACAGGGGCTTGGAGCAAGCTGCTCTAGTGGAAGGGGTCCCTGCCTGTGGCAGGGGTTGGAGCTGGAGGAGCTTTAAGGTCCCTTCCAGCCCAAACCACTCTGAATCTGAAACCCTCCCAAATACCTCTGTGGTCCCTGGATGCCATGTACACAGCAGCTGGAGGTGGAATGAGTCCTCAGGGCTGTGGAGACATTAAAACCCAACTCAGTGCATTGCAGAGGAAGGAGAAAACCTCTGATATTCACATTCATATGGTGTGGTTTCGTTCAGTCATTGCTCTGCTGGCATCTGCCTTTCCAGGACGGCGCGGGCATCCTCAGCTCGCAGAGGTATGAAGTGTTTCCACGTAACGAGAGAATTTGTGTGTGTTAATTTTTATGTGCATATTTTACAGCACTTTATAATGATATTTAACAGCATAAAATGTTGGCACACACTGAAAATTGGTGAAAGTTCAGCCATCTAATTTGGGCAGGTTATGCTTACAGGCACTCACACTTGCAGACAGTTTAATAACAGTATTTGGCACTGTCTCTTCGAGCTGCTTAAACTAATTAATGCATTTGCTCCCTACAGGATGAAATTGAGTTTTCAGATACATTTATAAAATGATGTGCATGATTGCTAAATATTTCATTTTTTTGAACTATAACTTTGAGTGGTTTATGTGGGTGCAGAGACAGTTAGATATTCTCCCATGAAAAATGTACAGTGGCTCTGGAAAGAGGATAATCTCTGCCCTGGCTTGTCAGAAGAGGATAATCTCTGTCCCTCTTTTAGCCTGTTAAAAGGTGCTCAGTAATTTGGACATCACTTGGCAGAAGGATGATATTGCTGGGGGTGTCTGGAGGTGCCCCATTCTCATGCGGCCACTTGGTGCTCCATCATCTGCACCCACTTCTCTTATTCCAGTAGCTTTCAGGTTGTGGGTCCATCGCATCCCAATCCATAGCGTTTCTTGCCAAAATGAGGGCAAAAAGGGGGATTTTTTGGACTGAAGCCCCAGTGATGTGCAGTCTCTGTGCTCCATTGATGTAGCAGATGACATCAGGCAATAATTCCCCGAGACCCTTGTGCAGGGGAGGTTAACACTAATCTCGCCAGCTTGAAAAGAAGGTTAAAACAATAATAAGTAACAATTTGATTTGGAATAAACCTTTCTGAAGGAATCACAGTAAACAAAATCTGTTTGCCTAAGGAAACCCTCCCAGCAATCAGCTCCTAACACAACTGCTTGTGCTAATGAACCCAAAGCTGTTAATGTGGTTTCTTCAGTTAAATTGATTCATGAATTTTGAAGAGAACATTATCTAATGAATTTTCTTTGAATAGAAAGCAATTAAAAGGACAAATCAGTCTGATTAACCCCAAAGTCACCCTACTGCCACAAATGGTGTACAGTTTGAAATTATATCATAAAAAACTAGAGCAGATTTGCTATCTCTTTGCCCTCTACTAATCCATGTAAATTAATGAACAACAAAGTTAATTTCTTTGATGACCCTTTTCTCGTATCACCTGGATTATGCTGATGTTTAATTTGCTTAATGTTATAATAAAGACTAAACAGATTTTTTTCAATGGAGTGATTATCATTCCCTTCAGTTAAGAAGTGATTTTTATTATTTAACACACACCTAATGGTGTATGGGTTTCCTTTAAGACCAAAATCACATTTCACTATGTTCCTGGGTAACGTAATCGATGTCTTTTTTGACAACTAAAGGAAGAAAATGCTTTTAATCAGTTTATTTCTTTGCCAGAGCAGGAGGCTGGGGGAAGGGCCCTCTTTTCCTTTCCTTTTTGCCTTTTTACTTTTCTTTTTATTCACCAGCTCCCTCAGTAAGTTATTCACTAGTTAGATCTTCAAAGCTTTTACAAGTGCCTTGGAAGAGCAGTAAGTGTTCAACCCAACTGAAATCTGAACGCATCCATCAGGCTTTCCTTTTATAAAGGCTTGGGAAGGTAAAACCCCGAGTTGCAGAAGGAAGCTGGTCCTAATGCATTTGCTTATTCATTATCCCAACCATTGGAACACTTAGAAGCAATTTGCTGGCGAATTAAAATTGAAATCATGGAAGATACGTTATATTTTGTTTCGGAGCCCCGTATCATTAAGGATGTGCCGTATATTCAAGGTCATAGCTAGTCCTTACATCTTGTAATGTCTGCAGTGCTGAGCAGTAGCTTGGGGGTCTCGACTATAAAATGCAGTCAGGCAGGATAATACGGAGTCCACTGGCTCTAGGGCTTCTTGTGCCACGTGTCCCAGCTGAAGTTGGAAATTAGCTGGAGATGCGAGGGCTTTGTCAAATAGAGCCGGTTATATCTTCTCTTTTTAATTTGACTCTATGCTAATTTATACTCTGCCAATTTAATGGGAAAACCACATTGTCTGAGTTAACGGGATAATTGTACTCGAAGCAAATTAAAAATATAGGAAAATCAAAGCCTTAAATCCTTTTTTTATAGTGGTCGGTTACTTGAAGTGCTCTTTCTAATAATCATGTCTTTAAATGTAGTAATATAGGACACAATCACAGGACAGTGCGTCGGGGCTGTTTCCATTTAAATGGGAAAGCTGTTATTGAGCCTCTGCGTTGGGGTTTGGGAGTCTTTCACCTTGGGTTTCCTCAGCCGTGCATGCAAACAGCGCTCGCTTCGTCTTCCCTGCAGATTCCTTCACCAGCAAAGTGCTGTGGACCCTGTTGAGAGACGTGAAGTTTGGAGAGGCCGTTTCCTACAAGCACTTGGCAGACCTGGCAGGCAACAGCAGAGCAGCGAGGGCAGTGGGAGGAGCCATGAGGAGCAACCCTGTAAGTTCATGTCAACTCTGAGATGAAGTTGATGGAAGATGCTGGATTTGGAGAGCTGTAAGGGCTAAATGGCAATAGATTAAATTTATCTGCTCTGAAAACTGGTCTACCGTGCGTAATAAGGTCAGTAAGTGTTTTTAATCAGCAATAATGCACAACCTGATTTAATGGGATTTATTCCCTACCATTTATAGTGTTAGATTTGAAAGAGAAACACTTCTTTTAATTCACCAGCCTCTATGTATTTTTGTTCTCAGACCTTCTGATGTATTCTTAGGTGAGGGAAGTCTTTTATCCTATATCTGAAGTGGGGGCTACAAGGATGCTGGAGAGGGACTCTGCATCAGGGACTGTAGTGATAGGACAAGGGGAATGGGTTCAAACTGAGAGAGGGGAAGCTCAGGTTGGAGAGAAGGCAGAAGCTCTTCCCTGTGAGGGTGCTGAGGCGCTGGCACAGGGTGCCCAGAGAAGCTGTGGCTGCCCCATCCCTGGCAGTGTTCAAGGCCAGGTTGGACACAGGGGCTTGGAGCAAGCTGCTCTAGTGGAAGGGGTCCCTGCCCGTGGCAGGGGTTGGAGCTGGAGGAGCTTTAAGGTCCCTTCCAACATAAACTGTTCCATGATTTCATGAGTTCTCTGGATTTGACCCAATTGGAGGGAGTAGAGCTCCAGGTTAGGCCTGTGGATTTTGGAAAAATGGTCTCTTATCATACCTGGTCTCTGTTTGTCTTCTTAGTAGTTAGCTTTCCATTTTAGTTATCCTGGTTTAGCTTTCCACCTGTATCACACTGGTCAGTGGGAGTCAGGTTGATGAGAGTCAGCAGGTTGTATATCCTTGCATGTCTGGTTCATGTCCTGCTAGAACAGCCGCATCCTGAATTTGGGGGGTTTCTGGGCTAGAATGGGTGCACAAGGAGGAAGGAGGCAGTTTGATTCCCCAAACCCTCAACCTTTGGCCTTTGGACTGCAGGAGCCACATCCACATGGCTCAAGTTTTTGTGATTATAGAGGAGCAGGGATAGCCCAAGACATCCCACAAGGGACTGATGCTGCAGCACCTCGTTCCTGGGCACAGGAACGGAAAAGCTGGTGAAGAGAACACTGCTGTGTCTGTCTTTACCCATCCCCTTGCTACTTTGGCTCTAAGAAATAAAAATCTGTGATTTCTGTTACTATCACTGTGGCCCTTTTGGCCATTCTTCAACATATTTTCCCTCGTTACCACTTGCCCTGAGCAACATGTGCCTTTCCATACCCAAATTCCTCTCCTGTTCTCCAGCATTATACCTGCTGTAATCTTTGACCTCCTGTGTTGTTTTTGCATTCAGTCCTCTCAGTATTTCTTTAATAAGGTACATATGAAACTGCAACACGTAGTTGCAAAGTGGGTTAGAAAATCTGCTTTCAGGTGGCTTTACCTGTAGAAATAACAAAGGTGAAGGGGTTTTGCAGTGCCACTTATTATCTTTATATTTCACCTCATTCATAAAATCAACCTGCAAAGGTAACCTGCATGTAATGGCTTATAACCATGTAGAGATTTATATGGGAAGCATGAAAAACACAGTGAGGTGCTCATACTGAAGTGCCAAAGGACTGTGTGTGTGTTTGCATGTGGAATATGCATGAAATTACAGATTAACTACAGATGTGTAGAGATAAAACCATGTTTTGGAATGGACAGGGTTCTCATTACAACCCTGATTTCTATGGTTTTTTTATCATCAGCTTTCTATTATGAACTATTGGGGTGGTATTCTATTAACATAGCGCTTTCTCCCTAAAGCTATACATTATTATCTATAAAATGCTTTAAAATCTTCTGATGGGGACAGAAAACACTGCGGTCTTCGAATGGGGTGGGAAATAACAATAATAAGATAGGACCCCATTTAAAAAAGCCAGCGGTAGCTTTGCTGTATATTTTCAGAACTATTTTCATCCTCCCTCACAGGGGAAAAAGCAGGAATTTTCACACCACAACCTGCTGTTACTGCTACTTTGGATGCTGCTGCTCCACTGCAGCCTGAGGGCAGAGCTGGGTACATTTCTAGGCAATAGCAATTACATATCCTTTTGCACAACACTATATTGTTATTCTTTGAGAACTGTTTCCTGTAGGTTTGCATTGTATTGCCTTATCTTAATGTACACCAGATGATATTGGAAAGCATTCCATCATATTAAAATAGTTTGTATTGTCAAGTACAATACGGTGTATTGACAAAACGGAGCTTTATGCTGCTTATATGAGCTGTTCCATAGGAAAATCTGATAGAGGCTTAAAATATCAGGTTGTACTTCTTTATTGAGCTCAGAAGCTTAAACCCATTAGACACGATGCGAGTTTCTGTGGTCATGTGCTACCAGCTCGGAATGGTAGGGTACCTGGGAAGCTGGTATGTGTATAAACACCCTTGCAGTCTGTTTATCAGATGAGATATTGAGCTCTGAATCTAACTAAGCAGTTCATTAAACCGAACACGTCATCCGGGCTGCAGCATCATTAACGTGTCGGCGCAGAATGCAAAGAACTGCGGTGTTAACAACTGCTGCACCTGCAGCACGAGCTTTGGGAAGGAAACACCACATTGGAGGTGCAATTGCTTTGAAATTGGTGCAGAAATGGGATGTACTGTTAAGCAGCAGATTAGTGATTCTTGTTTGTGGGAGGGACGCTGGCGATAGCGAATACGTATTGGAAGCATGGAGTTCAAGTTGATCCTTCAATTAATGATCACTGTGGAAGATGCGTAGAAGAGCAAAACAAGTATGGTAGCACCTTGAGATGCTTCTTATGATTAAAGGTATAAATTATAAACAGGGTGAAATCACAAACATGATTTAATGAGGATAGTAATAACAGTAAAACTGAGCATTTGAAATAAACCAGAGCCTGGCATTGCCTTGTCCCTCAACCATCTTGATAGCGTTGCTAAGCTCACTCTCTTCCATAAAATGCCAGAACATTCCCCCCCTCTTCTACAAATCAGACATTGGTCTTTAATCCCAGTAGCGTGCATTCCACAGGTTTCCCTTTGTAGCTGGGTTGCTTCCCATAATTCATACAATGACCTTCAACTTTATGAGAAGGTGGAATAGGTGCCAGCAGCAGCTGAGAGACACCTCTGCCTCGATTTATGCTGAGGACATGGTGAGGCTGGCTCTTCTTTTGTAAGGGGAACTTCAGATAGTTTGTTGTGGCTCACAGTGACTGCAAGGTCTGTGGTCCTCAAAGGGAACCCATAAAGTTCAAGTAAAAATCTCATTAGACTGGTAGAGGAGGATCAAAAAGAAATCACGGAGACTCATGGGAAATGGTAAGTGTTGGGCTGAGTGGTCCAAGGCCATCCTGAGTCACTGTTCTGTGCCTTAAATAAGATGTCTTCAGTGGTCTGTTAAGAGCAGTTGTAGCTACATATGTTGATATTCTCTCCAATTGTGTTACTAAGCTACAGCCTGGCCAAGTCTACAGCTCGATGCTAATACTGGTCTATCCTAAATCAAGGATATTATTCAGCCAGAATGCTTTAAACAGGCCTTATAGTGTCCTCCCAGTACGTAGTGGGGCCAGCAAGAAAGCTGGAGAGGGACTTTGGGCAAGGGCCTGTAGGGACAGGCCAAGGGGAATGGCTTTAACCTGCCAGAGGGGAGACTGAGATGAGCTCTTAGGCAGAAGCTCTTCCCTGGGAGGGTGCTGAGGCGCTGGCACAGGGTGCCCAGAGAAGCTGTGGCTGCCCCATCCCTGGCAGTGCTCAAGGCCAGGTTGGACACAGGAGCTTGGAGCAAGCTGCTCTAGTGGAAGGGGTCCCTGCCCGTGGCAGGCGTTGGAGCTGGAGGAGCTTTAAGGTCCCTTCCAACACAAACCAGGCTGATTGTGAAGTATGGATTTGGAATGTTGAGGATACATAAAGCTACCCGTGCATTAATGGTGACTGGCAGTAACCCAGGCCCATGCTAGGTCACCCTGTGGTCAGGGAAGAAGGGGAAGAAAAGCAATAGGACACGAGCAGACTGACCGATGACTTTTTGCTCACTGCGATTCTTGCTGTGTTACCCCGTGGCATTTCAGCTGCCTCCATCAGGGCTGATTCGCTTTCGACAGGTTGGCTGTTTCAGGAGGTGTCCAGCCTATCACCAGTGTAATGGAACGGTCAGGATTCCATTGCCTCCAGTAGGAATCCTGCAGCGATGGGAGCTCCTCCGCTCCATCCTCAGCCGGAATTCGCTAACCGCAGCTCGGAGCCGATCGATTCCTCACCCAGGGAGTTTTTTTCCCCACCTTTTTTCTAAACAAAGGCATTATCGAGGAGTTAGTTTATTCACAGATTGCCACGAGTGGTAATGACCGCCCCAGCCTTGTTCTGCCAGTCACCCAGATGGCTGTTGATAAAGATTTAGCATCATGTTCTGAGTGTCAGGGCTGTCAGTAGTGCTGAACCATTTGACCAGAAGAAAAAACGCACAGGGAGCTATTGATTACAGCTTCTCAGTGTCACTTGTTCACCAGGATTTAGGTATTGATGAGGCTGCGAGTGAAAACAAGCTCTTTCCCTTGTGGGCCTCTACCCAGAAGAACAAAAGCAAAAGTTAGAGAAAATATTCAGCTGGTGCCCAAATCAGAGGGACTCCGTTATTGATCCGAGGGCCCCTTTGTGTTATTTTTGTTGGAGACAAATCTATGGGTTTGGAAGTTTTATAGCGTTTGAGGTAGGGGCTGTGGAAGTGATGGATTCGTGTATTAGATGAATTAGATTTCACAGCATGAAGATTTCAGCAGAGCTATAATATTATGAGCTGCTTGGTTATTGATAAAAATTACATTAAATGTAGCTGAGGCATTAAAGCTCCAGACTGGGGTAGGACTCCCTCTAAAATGTCCTTAGGGCCCTAATAAATTTTAGCAGGTTTAATTATTTTAGTAGGCTGAACATTGTCACCACAATTAAGCCAAACTGAAGCAATATTCAGTATCTTTAAATTACGGCCCTGATGCAGCCGTTGTACCACGTTTTCTGTTCCACCCGATGCTGTGGAAGGTGATGTAGTGGCACTTGTGCGTGTTAGGGCAAATTCAGTGTGGAATTCTTTGAGAATGGGAAAAGCTGCATTTATTTCACATCTTCTTCTTCATAAGAGCATAGAATGGTTTGGGTTGAAGGGACCTTAAAGCTCATCCAGCTCCAACCCCCTGCCATGGACACCTTCCACTAGAGCAAGGTCCCCCAAGCCTCATCCAGCCTGGCCTTGAACGCTGCCAGGGATGGGGCAGCCACAGCTTCTTCGTGCTTAGTGCAGGTGGCTTAACCACTGCATTAGTGAGCAGGTCCTGCACTGACCCAGGCATCATCCAAGACCCCACAGCTTCCACCACCTAAAACATAAAGATTTATAGCTTACCATCAAAATACACTGATTTTTAAGGACTTGGAAATTAACCATTTAGGTGTTTTTACAGTGTATTACTATGGCTTGGTATGGCTTTGTCACTCAAGGAAATCTGGCTGCAGTAACTTGTGCATATGGACTCTAAAGACAGAGAAATCCCTAACCAGAAAAACCCTTCCAAACAGCAACTTCTTTAAAGTCACAGAACAAGAACATGATGGCCTCGTGTAAAGGTTTTGTTGGTGCTCACTGGCATTGTCATGGGTGCATAATTCATTTATGGCATTACCAGCTGCAAATACAGCAGCTATTTATAAGCATTTCTTTATTAAACCTTGATTAACAGTAAGCACCTCTGTGTGTTCCCATTTGCTGGGGTAGCCTGTGGGCTGAGACTGAGATTGAAAATTTCAGCTATTGAAATTACTTAACAAAACCAAAAGAACACCAGAAAACCCCAAATCTATATAGATCTGGCCAATAGCTGTTCGGGGTTTGTGTGTCCCAGACTCAGATATGAGCAGAGCTTGAACTGTACTGAAATAACTATTAAGTGAGATTAAAATAAGTCAGTGTAAAGTATGTAATTTGTGTGTGTACATGAAACTAAATCACACTTCTTGACTTAAAATACCCCAATTGCTGAAAACTGCACTTTTCAATGAGTTGCTTTCACAGCTCTATCATTGCAATGGAGTTACTGTGCAGTTACCAAAACACATACAGGGTGATTAGAGATGATGTATTGCATTTTTTATGGCAGGTACTTCAACTATGATAATCACCTGTACTAAAAAAAATAAAAAATGCATTTATGTACTTCCCTGTGATCAGTCTCTCACATAACTTCTTGCATTGGTTTCTCCAAATCCGTGACATTTGGCTATAAACGATACAAAGGAAAAGGCAGGAGGAAATAAGTTCTTAAATTGGTTAGGCCTCCTGAATTAAATCTCTCCTGTTGTAGGTTTTAACAGTCCACAACCCATTTTGCATTGACTTGATGTTAAATAATAAATAGCACCTTGTTCTTACGGTGACTTTTTCTGCAGCACCCTTAGAGGTGCCTTTGCGAGAGGAGGAGCTGGAGATTGGGAAGTTCAGTTCTGAAAGTGGGTTCTTTTCTTCCTGAAATACATCATCTTCCATCCTGGGGTGATGGTTAAGAGTTGTCCTGTACCCCCTTGCTATCCTCATGTGCGATTTGGGTCTATGAGGCTTCATCACCCACCCTGGGCAATGAGGTTTGGTTCCTGGTGCGGGGCAGGTACATCTACTTCTTGCAAAGAAGTTCTTATAGATGGGATTTAATGTATCGTAGTTTGGGTTGGAAGGGACCTTAGAGCTCCTCCAGCCCCAACCCCTGCCACGGGCAGGGACCCCTTCCACTGGAGCAGCTTGCTCCAAGCCCGTGTGTCCAACCTGGCCTTGAGCACTGCCAGGGATGGGGCAGCCACAGCTTCTTTTCTCCCCATCACCTCACCCTTCGCCCCCTTTCTCTCTTTGTCT